TCGAGGTGAGTCTGTTAGCCGGTTTCTCGTTTTAATTTTTACTAAATTCATTGCAGGAAAAACTATTCACACACATAAGTTGTAGAAAATAACATTTGAATTTTTGCTGCATATTTCTTAAGCTAGGAAATTGATATATTTATACACATTTTATGCGACTCGGGTCGCGGGATGCCCATCCCTGACTTAAGACTATGCCTACGACAACTAGTCGATCACGACACATTTTTAAGATAAAAAGTAGATCTTATGTACACAAAAGTTGGCCACCTCTGGCATAGACCATTGGTCAAAGATTAATGGTTTTAGTTTCAACATAGAGAAGACCTCGTGCATCCACTATTGCCGAAGGCGTGGTTTGCACTTGGATCCTGAAATCCACCTAAATGGGGTCAAAATCCCAATGGTGAACGAGGCAAAGTTTTTGGGTGTTTTGTTCGACTGTAAACTGACGTTCTTGCCGCACTTGTGCAATTTGAAGAGTAGATGTTTAAAATCTTTGAACCTTCTAAAGGTACTGTGCTGCTCATCCTGGGGAGCAGACAAATGTTCTATGCTCAGGATTTATAGGGCCCTTGTCCGCTCTAAGCTGGTTTACGGATGTGTTGTGTATGGCTCTGTGCGAGAATCTACTTTTTGGATGCTGGATCCAATTCACCATTAAGCACTGCATTTGTATACTGGTATATATGCCACGTGGGTATAAGAGGAAATGAAGCTGACACAGCTGCAAAGGGAGCAAGTCCTTCACAGCATGAAATGCGTATTGAAGGAGTGATTTGAAGTTAGTTGTTAAAAACGACTAGCAGAGAGATGGCAAATTATGTGGAACGCACAAATCCACAATAAACTACACGAGATCAAACCTTTGGTTGAAAATTGGACGCGTAATAGGCAGTGTGATCGGAGATCTAAGGTTGTCCTTACTCGTTTGAGAATTGGACACACTTGACTGACTCATCAATACCTTTTGAAGGATGATGATCAACCTGTATGTCAATATTGCAATTGTACTATAAGTGTTAAACACATACTTTGCAACTGCGTTGCTCTTTATGAATGCTGTAGACAGCATTTTGGAAATGCAAGTTTGAGAGAGATTTTGGGCCAGAGGCCAAATCTTGATAAGATACTGAACTTTTTGAAAGTTGTAAACATTTATAAAGAGATTTAATTACAGTAGACCCCCTATAACGCTTAGATACGTTCCACGCTAATCGAATTTTACGTTGTAGGAATGATTAAATACAAGAGCCAATCGCAGCCCGATAGGTGGGAACTTTACGGACTAAGGCTGTTTGAAAGGTTTTCTTCTATAAAATTAATTGATTCTAGACTAATTCCACTTAACATTTCCAAAACACGTATAATTTTTTGGGAATAATCTGTATAAACTATGCTATAAACAAAAAATTATAGGATTACTTACCGAGTGTGCACCATTCGACTACGCCTGTTGTTCAAAGCTTGTCTTCGTCGCGGAACAGCACACGAAACGGCGGCCGCGATTTCTGATAANAAAATATTGATTATATTGACTGATATTTTATTGGTTATTGGTTAGTGAAACCGACTATTATCGTTAAGTACTCATTTATCACTTCGAAAAATTAACTATTTTTTCTTTCGTCTTTCCTCATTTTGGAAAATAAATAGTCTTAATCCTTTTCAGTTTATCCTGAATAGTTTGGAGCTAAAAACCAATTACAGTTAAGAAATAAAATGTGTACAATATTATTGAATGTAACATTCAAACTCCAACTGCCCTGATGCAGTTCGTAGTGACGGCTAGAACCAAAATGGCAGATTATTCCATCTGGTTATTAGTACTTTAAGATTAATAATGACGTGAAGTTCTAAGATACCCAAATGTATGAAAACAAAGCTATACCAACAGTCAATACATTTAGTTAAAAAATTCCGAAAAGTTAGGTTACATTTCATTTCTATTTACTGTATAATGTGCGATTAAATCGATAAACTATTAAATAAAGATTTAAAAAACATATTTTGTATCTGTAATTTAAACGAATATTTATAGTTTCCCAGAATATGTACAGAGAAATGAACCTATTACGTGGTCTGAGATAGAGTAGCTAAATATTTAAAATTATTTGATAGATTATCTGTGAAAGTATTCACAAGAAGACATAAGAAACTGAAAGTAGCGATAGACTTCATGATTTTTCTAATCAGAGTTTTATGTAGTTACTAGACTAATAGGTAATAGTGGCGTTTCACAGATATGTAATGGCTCTTCATATCTTGTTTTATAGATTTACCCTCGAAATAAAACTCGGAATCGAACCTCATTACTACGGAACAAGATGAGAGCCCATCTGTTCCCGTGGCATGAAGAGCCTTTTTTGAGTTATACGCCAAATGATATTATACGAACTTGTATCATACGCAATAGGAGGGGATAACGCTCGACCTCGGCCAATATTATTTGTTCTTATACTTTTATTATTTATACATAGGCCTATATTTCGCACGCGTATCTTTATATTTTAATTTATTCGTAACTGCAAAGGTCCAACATTTGAAATATTTATTCCAGAATGTTTTAAAAATTTTTATTCTATTCGAATACAACCGACATCCGATTTATATTTTTCCCCGAGGAAAGTCGGTAAAATACGGATACGTATTAGTAAAAGGGTTTTGAAGCGTATAAACGGGCGAATCTAGGTTTTTCGATGCCTAGTGCAATGGGGTCCCATTTCTTTTAGATTAAGAATCTTTAAATTGAAGTTTAAAATTCATTTTTAATAACATTAAAATCAGAGTTGAAATATATTTATTTATGAAATGGCTTTGAATGATAAACTTTATATCTTATATAAAAAACATAAGAAATAAAGAAATATTTACATTGATTAATTACTGTCCAATTACGTTACATTGCTTACAATAAAACAAAATAATACTATAAAATATCATTATTATTATTATTATATTGTTAACTATTTTTTGCTATACGATAAGTGCTCATTGTTAATGAAAAAGTATTACAAATTTATGATAATAATTCAATTGTGAATGTGTCTCTTTAATCCAATTAATTCAGTTCGGTAGACTATCAATGCAGCTTTCAGGTTAGATACTTCTTTTATTGTTTTGACATATGCATTTCGGACTTATATAAATTTTAAGTCCCTCTTCAGTTCAAAACTCCAAATTATTTAAAAAAACACAATTAGTAAGATGACAAATTCTTCGCATGTAGATCATATTTACTGACATAAAACTATTGTATTTAAAAATTGTTACACTTATACGATACCCAAAGTTCTGTCTTCTAAAAACCACGGTGTATAATGGGTAACGTTGGAAATAGTTTAAAATACAGCCATTAAAAACACTTCAAATACATTTTCACATTAACACAGTAAACCTAATATATCAATACATTTATAATTTTTACTTTATAACATCATATATTTTAACAGAAACAATATAACACGATACTCACTTTTAACATGTGTTCATAAAATCTTGTATAATTACAACTTTTAAAGAATGTGTATGTTCTACAACAGCGGTCCCCAACCTTTTTATCGCCGCGGACCGCTCAACATTTGATATTTTACCGCGGCCCACTGAAGGGGGAAGTTGATTGTTTATATTTTAGATTGATTTAATTTAATAATTTTAATTTAATTGTATTTAAACATGCCTTCAAAATAAAATATAGTTACACCAAAAAATTAATATAATGTGCTTTAACATTTTAACTCACTAGAACGTTAAATCAATGAGAACCCTGAGCTTGTTTCTTTGCAACAAGACGGTTCCATCTGAGGGTAATAGGAGACAATGACACCCGAAGTGTATTTCTTATGTTTAGTTTATTCCGTTGTTCCGTCGTCCATTAAAAGTCGCGCAAACCCGAGAGAAATACACCATAGTAAATAAAATGGAAATACCAGTAATTTAATGTTCCTTGGGCGGCCCGGTACCATTTGATCCATGGACCGGTACCGGTCCGCGGCCCGGGGGTTGGGGACCACTGTTCTACAATATAATGTCGCAGCAATTATAATCTTTTTACAGATTAATAATATGCAGTATATTACAGTAATATTAAAACATTTTCAAGAGAATACATATACACTTTTACAATATATTTCACTCATTATTTTGTCACAATATATTACAATAAATTTTATCTATTAGCGCCATCTATTATATTATACCACAGTTGATCTATTTGCATACCATTTGAAATATTTATTAAATTATCATCTTTACATTTTATAATCTCTATATGTTCTTTAAATTTACGTTTATACACATCTTTTTCTAAATGAATTATTTTTATGTTATTTCTATCTATTTTACACTTACTATTTTTTATATGGTTGAACCACGGAGAAATATTGTGTTTTAGTCTAATTGCTGCATTGTGTTCTTTAATTCTTAATTCTAAAGTTCTACTAGTTTCACCTATATAATTTTTCGGTTTTTGGCAATCACAACTAATTTTATATACTACACCTGATTTTTTTAAATTATCAACCTTCATTTTATATTTATTATTATTATTATAAATATTACGTGAAATTTTATTGGTCAAAGACGGGGCCAAAACAATATTTTCTTTTTTTAAAAACTTGCTACAATTATTATAAATCTCATTAATATAAGGAAAACTATTATAACTCTTATCTTTTTTGTATTTGGTATTAAATCTGTTGTTATAATATTGGTTGTGCCACATTTTTAATTTGTAACTGGGGTAATTATTCAAAATAAACGTCTTTTCTAATTCTTTTAATTCTATTTTACGATTAATATTATTAGTAGTTCTTATATATATATATATATATATTTTTTTTTAGACCCATTATATATGTGTTCTTTTTTATAGTTTCAGGGATGCAGGATTGATAATCGATGGTTTTATTGATGTTATGTGTTTTTTTGAAAGTTTTAAAAGAAAATTTGTTTGTTTCATTGGTTATTGTTATATCTAAAAAATTTATTTGGTTGTTTTTTTCTAATTCAATATCAAATTTTACATCTTCATTTATATTATTTATAGTTTTTAATATTATTGTATCACTCTTTATTTTGTTATTATAAATTAATAAATAATCATCAACATATCTCATCACCATTTTAACCCCAGGGATATTTTGTATTTTTTCATCTATATTTTTCACAACCAATTCAGCAACTTTTGGTCCCATCTTTGACCCCATACTGACACCATCTATTTCTTGTAGTCCGAAATGCATATGTCAAAACAATAAAAGAAGTATCTAACCTGAAAGCTGTATTGATAGTCTACCGAACTGAATTGATCGGATTAAAGAGACACATTCACAACGAAATAGCAGCTACCATAAGTGATATTTATAATAATTCAATTCTATACCCTATTAGTCTGTATGTAAATCCACCCCTGCGTATAGAGGACAGGCGGGCATTTTATTACATACTTATATAAATAATAAAGTTGAAATAAATAAATACACAAAAACGGCAGTATTTTGCGCCATTTTTCTGTATTTAATTACAAGTAAACAAATTCCGACTTTCAATAGTGTATATGTAGGTCATATTGAAAGTCATGAGCAACAATTTATTAATTACGAAAAACTAAGAACATTGTCATAACCTATAGACTATGAGCAGTGCCAGCAGTTGTGATATCATTAGTGTCCATCACGTGACCATAGACAGCCAGTAAAAAATGGCTGCAACTGATGTTTGTTTCGTCAGCGTGCTGTACTTGAATTTCTTGTAGTATGACACCACAATGAGGGGAAAAGTTTGGAAGAAATAGGAGATATGTTCAACATTTCCACACGAGCTGTCCAGTGCATTATAAAATTATCCTGGGACGCTGGTTCCGTGTCACCGGGGAAAGCGATGGGCCATGAACGTCAGATGACGGAAGCGGAGGATGCTCGCCTGCAGCCAGGAGAACCCATTCAAGACGGTAGCAACACTCCAAAGGGATTTAAACGTATCGACGCGTACTGTAAGAAGAAGGTATGTAACATTTGTAGTATAATAGTATGAAACATAAGAAGTAAAATAATATATATATTTTATTAATAGGTTACGATAAGGTAATTTGTTTGGGCGGAGGGCAGCCATAAAACAGGTGTTGACAATAGCAAACCAATAAGATTGTCTGGGGTTTGCCAAAGTGTATCTCCGATGGACCACAAATGATTGGTCATCGGTGATATTTACTGATGAGAAAATATTTTCCTCAGACTCCAGCGGGCCTGTGTGGGTCTTCGCCCACCATCTACTAGCTATAACCCTGAATATGTGTGGCGCACCCAAAGAAGTGGGCATTTTTCGATTGGTGAGTGTTTTAATGTTGTATTTATGTCATTAACTCTTTGAACATGACAACTTATCTGGTTGTTCATTTTTTTAAATCACTACTTTATTGACTTTTTTTCTGTTTACAGATGTATGGGGATGGATGACCTCTGCTGGACCCGTGGGGTTGGTCTGCGTAGATGGTCACCTCACTGTTGTGCAATACATCAAAATCCTCGAGCAGGTGTTGTTGCTGACGGTGAGGGCCGTCTATGGAGAACACGACAGCTTCCCTGTACACACAGCCAACATGTGTGTAGACAGTGGATAGATGAGCATCCACAAATTATCGACATGGGATGGCTGGGGAGGGGAGCAGACCTCAATCCCATTGAACAATTGTAATATAATATATAATATAATTAACCCATTGAACATGTTTGGGCCGAGCTCTGTTGCGACCCCGTTCAGGTGACAAATCCCAACGACCTCTGGGAAATTGTCAGCGGTTGTTGGGAAAAGTTTCATGAGGGCGTACTCTGCCAAAATCTTGTGGCAAGTGTGCCTCAACGACTGAATGAGGTCGTGGACAAGGTACTTGATCCTCTCCCCTCCATCTGCGATGTTTAAACTTGTCATTTTACCAGACATTTTGTAAATAAGTTTTTGTAAATACGTATTGTAAATAGTTTTTTGTAAATAAATGTATGTTCTTAGATAATAAATGTAAATAGTCATTTCTAAACTTTGTGTTTTTCTAAGTCATAAAAACTATTATTACGTTTAATTGTGCAACGTTATTATAACTGTTACTTGACATTACTCACGCTCGAGTTTTTCTTGTGCAGGTTACATACATAACAAAAGGTTTTTTGGACCCTCCAAAAAATTTTTTTTTGATTTTCGGATGTTCGTGAAAAAATTATTATTGCAATTTTAATCAACCTTTAATGACAATTAACGCTTAATTGTTTTTTACGGGATTTTTTAAAATCAAATTTCATTCATCATCCTAAAGTTCTAGTGCTTTGGTAAAGTTATTTAAAGCTACTTTCTCATGTCAAAAACAATCTCCAATAGTTTTTTAATTTTTTTAATTAATAAATTTTTTGTTATTTTTAATATTTTCGTAATGTGAAAAATAAAATTAATTTCGCAGTACTTGATTGCTTGCTGTTCTCTCAATTGGTTGTATGTTCCTTGAAACCAAGCATAAAATTGCTCTTGAGAACTTTTCACATGAGAACACTTCTTGATGGAAAAAGTGGAGTTTTATTTTTTACAAGGGATATGCACTTTGGACTATATGCACCTCTTCAGTCCCATAGGGTTAAGGTAATATGTCTCATTCACTGTTATTGATTATATTGATAATTTATGGAATTTTTATTCAATCCCAGAAAATTCAAGCCCCTCTTTAGATGCTATGGTTCTCTCATAATTAGTGTTGCCACTTTTTCAAAATTGCTGACCCAGACAATCGATTTGTTCCAACAGAAGTCCCTGACTGGTTTGAATTTGAAACCATACAAGGCATTTACAATGTCATTTTACAGTCAAGAACTGAACAAAGGACATTCCAGTTTTAAACCAGTTAGGAATTGGTGTTGGAACAACCTAATACTTTCAAGAGATATTTGCAAGTTAGAATTTTAAAAGTACATTTTCTGTCACTCTTAGCCTAGGGATAAGATGGGAATAAGTTTGGGTAGGGTGTGAAGTTGAAGTCTCTAACTGTTAAAATAAAATATTTACAAATATTTTTATAAATTTATTTTGTTTCATCATAATTTCACAATCTACAAAAACCAGACAAATTAATAATTAATCCGAACCATGAATTTAAAAACTAGCTTGTTAAAGTGAAAACTGGCCTGGTGGCAACACTAGTAATACAATATATTTTTTTATTTTCAATAGTTATCTTGACTGTTTTTAATTTAATATTGATATAAATAATTCAACTTCTGGTAAAAATAAATTTAAATTTATAGAAGATTAAACTAAATAACAATTTAACTCAAGAATTGCATTGCTTTTAGTTTTTTGCAAATTAATCTGTTTAAAGAGTCATCAACTGGTGTTGTAGGTTTAGAATAGTAACCATCCAAGTATAATCTGAAAACATAAATCCAATATTCATTTATATCAGAATGATTATATGTAAAAGTGGTTTTAATTCCATGCTTAGCTTCTCCTCCGGTTCTTAATCTCATAGCAGTCATTTCTACACTTAACACTCCAGCTCCTAAATAAGTAGTACAATTAATATTTAAAATTTTCAAATTTACACACATCATGCAGATGATATCTGTATATTACTATAAAAATAATAATGATCCATGGCTTAAAAATTCAAGCAATATACCTATCCAAAAAATTATATTTTGAACTAAAAAATCCTTGTTCAGTAATTTGTGGTGAAGGTCAAGAAGCTTCCTCCCAGAGATGCGTGTTGATTAATCGCTTGACAATACGAAGGAGGGTGACTGTCCGTGTTTTATTTTATTAGAGAGGCTGCGGCCGACGTTTTCAACGCGAAAACGTGTACGTCGGACGTTCAGCGCCGCTTTCCTGAAGGCCTAGAAGTTTGGCAATGGTGTTTGGAATGTCGAGCGTGATTCCACTGACTATCCAAACACCATTGTCAAACTTCTAGGCTTATAGGAAAGCGGCGCTGAACGTCCGACGTACACGTTTTCGCACTGAAAACGTCGGCCGCAACCTCTCTATTCTTTCAGCTTTCTTCTGTTTAATTATTTTAATATTCTATAAATTTCTCCGGTTGCTGAATTCACAGAAATCGGGATCAGTGTTGTAACTGGCAATCGCCATCTCATCTCACCGTATCATCCTTTCAAACGTGTCTTCAAGACACACACGTGTGTCAAATAATAAAAGGTGAAAATTCATCTTAAAAAATTCATTTAAATTTATAAGTATTTAAGCTCCAATATAAACAGCAAGTTATATAACACAGGTCAACAGTGGTTTTGGTGCCAGGGTATTTTGAGATGATTTCATATGAATTTGATGCCCTGAATTCAAATATGACATTAGTTTTTACCTATGAACTGTAATTTTTAAGATATAGCATTTTAGTGAAATATATGTTTCCATATCTTCAGTTAAATCCATGGATCAAATAAAAAAACTAAACATGGAATTTTTATTATTATATTATATTATGCAAATGTGAGATCCGGAATTTTAGTAACGAAAATCCTGCTCTTTTATAACAAGAAAATTAATTAATTTACTTTCGTTTATGTAACGAACTAGAGAAAAAAAAGATCTTAGCCGGGAAAGTGGAAACCTTTCTGTCATAACTATCAACATCTATTGTTCTCTGCAGAACTTGCAGCTCATCTTGCAGAAAAGTTTATAGTTAACATCCAACTTTAGTTACTTGTTAAGTCCATGAGTTAAAGGTTATAGGTGTCCACCTATAATCTTTAACTCATGAACATCCGATCACGTGGTGGAAATTCCCCACAAAAAGCTATAAAAGACAGTACTTACCCCCTCTCGGGGGAGTCTCTTCACGAACGCCGGACCGACGACATCGTGCTGATTCTCCGAACCCGCCGAATTCCGATTTACGATCAACGATAACAGATCATTGCCAAAGTCGCGAACTTTTTATAATTGTGCTCGTTTGGATTAAACCCACTTTCCTTTGGACATTTAAGTGCCTCCATGGACTTACTCGTCACGGAACTTTACAAAGAGGGAAAACTCTCTCTCTTGAGATATTAAGCGGTTTAGAAACGTTATTTGTGTAGTCTTTTTGTCCATTTTGCTTATCTTAATAAATTGTCGTTATATTGGTTAAATATGGTAGACTCCTTTACTCGATCATGTCCTTCACCTTATCGTCGGCCCCAAAAACTCTCCCTCCACTCCCCCGACATTTGAGTCCCAACCAAAGGGACCGTTATCGTAAAAAAAGCTTTCCTGACAGTGAGCAGGTTTAACGATAACATATGTAGCAAAATACATCAGAATGATTTACACAACTACTTGAACTCATTTTATTTGTATTCAACAACACAAATAAAAGCATCTAGAACACAGTACATTTTAGGTTAACTTTATAACAACTCTTGCCTTAACACAAATATCACGCGAGGCCAACTTCGATCTATACTGCACGGCTGGAACTTACAAACTTACCTCAATTCTAGTTGAAGCATTGAACGTCAATTCATTACCGTGGATTTATTTACCTGGAACTAACTGGACAGCAGACTGACAACGGGGAAAATATACAGGAATCAATCCTTGCATATGTGATATAGAACTGTACTGTACAAACTGGAATTAGAACTGCACATTTCGTGTAGTACTGTATGTTAAAAAAAAACACTGATCTAAAAAAGTAGGGCTGAAAGAGAAAAACCGATTTCATATTTGGATTCAGCAACTTCAAATATAGCTAAGATCAGTTCTAAAATCCTAGACACCAATTTTTTTTGTAGGCTTGTGTAATATATCTCTACGTCAAATCACTATCAGATATATCAAAATTTCCTCGAATTTGGTATAAAAGTGAATAAAACATTCCAGATTCTCATTCTTCAATAATATTTAATATATTTGATTTTTTTTCTTTAAATTTAAAAAGTCAATTATTTAGGATTGTAAAAATTTATATTTTTTATTGCCAATTTCAAGATTTCAGGTAAACTTATTTCCAAAGTGCATTCATATGAGCATTGCCTCAACTAGATAGATGCGACGGGTGCAACAGGAACAGGGCCATGAGATGGAGTATAAAAAATTATCAGTATTGTGCTGCAATTTTCAAAATTTGTATACCTATAAATTCCCACTGGCGCCGGTGTGCTTGTTTGTTTTCCCTTTCTCGAGAAGGGAGTTAGATGATGCATAACTCTATTGTTATCAGAATAAGAATGATGTACAGGGGCAAAACACCTAAAATGTTTATAATAACAACTGTATAAGTTATATATTTTTAATTATTCTCAGAAATAAATTTAGTTATCCAAATAAGAAAGAAGAGAAGCGTCAGAAAATAAACTCATTAAAAAGTTGAATTAATAAAATAAGTAAATTGATATTAAATATTTATTATATTTATCTTTTAATTATACAAATGGATAATTTCTGTCAGCTGAGTCTGAGTATTGTGTTAAAAAAACGGAGATATTGGGATAATTAGACAAGTAATAGTTATAAGAAACAGTGTTGTGTAACTTTAAAGATTTCTTAGACATAAATTTTTATTACGGGCGTTGTAAGTACGAAAATAAATTTTATAATTTAAATTTTCATTTGTAAAGAGATTATTACTTAAGAAATATATAGTACTTTCTATTGTTGCATGCTTAATAAAATATTAATAATTCTATTCGAAACAATACTGTATTGTTGTTTTAATTCACTATACTTATGCAATAATATTACAATACTCAGATACGAAAGATTACATGAAAGTGAAAAAAATCGAGTATGCACTTAAATTTGATTATTGGAAGTCTCTTTATTTTGCGTGCAATTTGCACTATTAGTAGAAATGATAACGAAGCGTCTAGAAGCGGAGGAACCAATAAGGATTCTTTTCACATAACGAACAAATTGCCATTTCTAGACTTCAAGAACGACCGTCTTAATATATTTAAACCTTATTTTACTTTATACAGTAAAATATACAGGCCATTCCAAGAATTCGACAGTAACAAAAAATACCGAATCTCAAAAGATCTAGAAGATAATTTAAGTGATGATAGAATAATTGGAAAACATAAGCGTAAATTGCCTAAATATCTAATTGGTCGTAGTAAAAAACGTGTTAAAGAAGCGAAAAACAAGAAAAAATTTAAAATTGAAGAGAGACGAGAATTTTATATCGTCGGAAATTCCAACAATAAAAGAGTGACAAAAGAAGTAATAATTCCGAATTGTGGAATAATCTTTCAAAAAACAGTCGAGCCTTCGTATAGAAGAAAGACTTACATCGTCATCACTGGTCTTATTGGGGGAGTAGCATTGATTTTGCTCATTAGTTGCATAGTATTTATTTTAAATGAAGTAGGAATGAATCTAGTGTATATAAAAAATAAAGTGTCTACTCCAGCTGATTATAATATCGTCAATATTTCCTCGTCTGATTACGAGCTTGATGAACATCCTAAAGAAACAATGGATAAATCTCAATATGTCGAAGTACCGTTGGAATCTGAATTAACGGTTAGACACAATACGGATATTGAGTTCGTGCCAAAAGTCAGCGTATTACCAGAAAATATCAGAACACCTGAAAATGAAGAACAGCGTAATCAAATTAGTTCAATGGAGATCGTTCCTCCACAGTAAAGGAAAAACACGAAGAATTAATGATGAATAAGCGAGATGATGAGACTGTTGTTTCCATCCCTGAAAAAAGAATAAGTGAGGAAATATATTATTATTCTGAAGAAACTTCTACTCCCGAGCCCTTAAAAGAGTTAATAGCTGAGGAAGTTATATCAGGCGTTCCTCTTGAAATACCTGAGCCACACGACGAAGAAATGAGTAGAACAGAAGAGCTTCCCGTTCACAACCATGATTACAAAGAACAGTTATTTCTTAATTTTAGAAATGAAATTGCTAACCGGATTGGTAAGTTCGAATGTAAACATTGAAATAGCGTAAAATAATTTCTTATATAAATCATTTCTCATTTATACGATTGTTAAAATTAAAAATTTTTACAGATAAAGATGTAAAATGTCGGAAACGCGAACAGAATGACGAGAAGAAATATATATTTGAAGTTAGGACTAAACGTATAAGCAAAAAACATAAACCAAAATTAAGAAATAAGGAACCAAAACTAAATTATGAATATTTCGAAACAGACACTTCTGTTCGAAATTGTTCTCTGTCTGATTTATTACCATCCTTTGTGACACCGAAACCGGAAGGTGATCCCAAATTAAACAAAAGGCTAGAAACGGTTCCGAAAAAAGAGACTAGAGTCATCGAAGGTTTTATTTTCAATGAAGCCAAAAAAGATAAAAACGTCTATATCCACGAAACAAACAAGCAAAGTCGATACGTCCAAACAATTCCGGAACAATTAAGCATTCGTAGTAAAGAATGGATGAGATCGCATCCTCCAGGAGGCATCCAAAAGGAAGATTTTAAATCCGTGTTTTCAAATAGACGGAATAATGTACACGAATCGTTAAATCTGTCGAGAATTCGTGAGTGTTTACAGCCAGAATCTAAAACTTATGCCAAAGATGAGCGAGCTTTTCCAAATAGATATGATGAGAAATGTAGGCGTAAACCATTTATTTCAACGGATCCGCCATTTCTGAAAGTTGGCAGTGATAAATGTGTTCTTATGGCTAGACAAAGAAGAGAACAAAAATCAGGAAAAAATGTCCGATTTTCTACCATGTCAAACGATAAATGTAAAGTTGATAAATAATTGATAATTCATAATAATTTATACGCGATTTGATAATTTGAAATACCGTATATAATTTTAAAAAATTTCTGTAAAATAAATAAGTCGTAGTAAAGATTTACTTTTCGTTGCAGTTTTCTTTACACCCTTTGTATTACAGCCCCTCACAATTCCGGCTGTAATTTTTAATTTATTTAATTTAAAATATCGGCTTTGATTTCAGTAGTATCTTGCCCTGTACATCATGCTTTACCTATTAACAATGGAGTCATACCGATCATCCAACTTCAGGAGAAAAGCCAAATCAAACTAATATCGATCAAATATACAAATATTCCAAAATCCGGAACAATTCCTGTCCCGAGCATTTCAAGTAAAGGATTCTCAACCTGTAACAAAATGACAATAAAAAATAAATCATTGCGGACAGTAGATGGAAATAACGTGCCATCATTAACGTGGTTGATAAACGCACGTTTCACTATAATAGCGAAGTTGAGGCCGACGTTTTAGGCTGCGTACGCCTAGTGTGTACGCAGCCTAAAACGTCAAGTTACAGTTAAATCCTCGAAACGACTCTTTCGAGGGGGAAGAGAAGTGGCTTTTATCGTTTCGCGGTGGGAAAATTATCACGTGATTAACTAGTTAAGGGGTAAAAGGTGTGCGGAAAGGTCAGAGTTGTCCCCGGAACCCAAATAAAATGACGCAATTTTATGTTAACTATCAACTTTTAAGTTCGTAGTGTGGAAATAGTTGTCGAGATGGGCGAATGTTTACCTTGGAAAAGGGGAGGTTGAAATTTCTCCCTCTTTCAAGTTTCCATTTTAGTTTCTTAGGGAAATTTAATTGGGTTTTGAGTAATAACAACGATTTATTGGTTAACTATATAAACTATACAATAATCTATAATCGCGGAATTCCGAGTGAAAATTCTGTGTCCCTAAACGCGAAGGGGGCCGAGAGAGAGTTCACAGAAGTTGGTTCCATACCTCTTTATGTATTTGGATCTCTAAGAGAGGGAAAGAATCCACCGGGACGTCGAGGTTCGAAACAGGGCAAAGTTATAAATAAATTCTAGAGTATGTGGTACCACTACCATCGGTGAGCGACTCCCCGGAGGAAGCGGGGAGAAGTGGCTTTTATCGTTTCGCGGTGGAAAAACTGTCATGTGACTAATTAGTTGCGAGGTCAAAGATGTGCGGAGAGGTCACAGGTGTCCCCGGAACCCAAATAAAATGACGAAATCGGATGGTAACTATAAAGTTTAAGTCTTATAGCGTGGGAATAATTGTCGAGATGGGCGAATGTTTACATTGGAAAAAAAGGGGTGGTTAAAATATCTCCCTCTTTCAAGTTGTTTTCCATTGTAATTTCTTAGGGGAATTTAATTGGTTTTTAGGTAATAACGGAACATTGACCGGAAAAAAAATCGGTAGAAATTCCGGATTTCACATTTACTCCATGTTTTTTTTTTTTTAAATCGCACTTAGTAGTGTGATTTTACACTGTACTAAATGGGATGGTAGAGGTATGGTTACAGAAGGAGGAAAAGTTCTCTTTTTCGGGACAAATCATTTAAACTCTGGGATACATAGGTTTATTCGCGACAAAAAAAGAGGTTGACAATTTTAAACATATGCAATTATGTCCTGGCGCGTGTTAGGAGCGCGACATTATTCAGCTTGAGGTAAGGAGAAGGAAACATCTGAGAGTTCTTGGAAACGGTCAGTTGATTGGCTGGTTGCAGTTTTCGTTGGCCTGGAGACGAGAGTACCGGTCAAAGGTCGAGAGGGTCGTTAGGGGTTTTGTTTAGAGAGTTCTTCGGTTTCGTCAGTCGGATTTTCTTGTTGGACGATGTTGTTCTATGGAAGATATAAAGGTCTTGGCAGATGCTGGAAACTAGGTAATGCTTTACAAAATATTTTATAAACTAATGAAAGTTAATAACAATGTTTAAAATGTCACTGAGTTCGGAATAGAGGTATATGGAGGTTACATATATGGTTAGATTTACTCTCGGGCGTTATAATTCTAAATTAGGATATATATATATATATAATAAAGATAATGCTCGAATATATGAAAGTGGGGTACAAACCCAGGCCACGTGTCGGGGAAACCCCTACCGGTAGACCCCTCCTTTGCGATCAATAAATGTCTAATGAAAGTGAAGAGTCGCCCGTAGGGATGTTCCTACGGGCGACTCTTCACGAGATATAGCCCTCCAAAATCAGGCCGTGCGAGATCGCGCCGCGCGTCGCTGATAACTCGCGTAGCATACGCGACTAGGTATGCCTGCCACTATACGTACGCCATTTCCGGTCACGTGACTCCGCTTCCGTGACCGGAAACGATCTGCGTATAGTCGCGTGTGATACATAGTTAAAAGCGAGTCTTCGCTGAGCGACGCGAGCGATCTCGCGATGGCGCGGCCCGATTTTGTCAACGACGCGCGGCGCGATCTTGCACGGCCTGATTTTTTAGGGCTATATGTCGTGAAGGGTCGCCCGTAGGGGTGTGGTTCATTACACATTTATTGATCGCAGAGGGGGGATCTACCGGTAGGGGTGTTCCCCCGATACGTGACCTGGATTTGTACCAAAGGAGGTTGACAACTGCATGAAACTTTACATACTAAATTATTATTACAAAGATAGCTTTTAGCCCTTGGTGTAATTAAATTAAATGTAATATCTACTAATGTGAGTTAGATAATAATAAGGGCTTATCACACCAGTGATAATAGACACAAACACTTAGGAATCAATAGAACGTTTAATAAAGTAAAAAGGTGTACAGTAAAGAACCAATTATATGAGTTTGCGTAAATAGCCAAAATGCATTTTGGACTATCGGAAATAGTCTCTCTTCGGTTGATAATTAATATAAAAAGGTTAATATACTAAAAACTACACAAAAGAAACGGTATGAACAGTAAACATTAACTCCTGTTCAGTGCTATTTAAAAAACAGCATTACAACAAATCATAATATGTAAATTGCATGATTACTACATGTGAGAGAATACAAAAACTAAATCTCCGGTACACAAATTTCAAGACGTAGTATATAAATAAAAAAGGAAATATCACGCGTAGTACTAATTACACAATACTTATAAAAGTAGTACCTTAAAAGGAAAATGTATATATTAAAAACCATACATCTTTAATAATTTAAGTATGATCTTATTTAATTGGTTTACCTTTAAATAAAAAAGTGATAAATTATTTTATTCATATCATGGAATGAGTACAAGTGAGCCGCTAGTATAAAGTTGTTTTCTTCCTCTATACAGGAACGTTTAAAATCGTTCTATAATCGAACCAATATTCGAATTTTTTATGTTCGAATTTAATTCGAATTTGTTCGAACAAATTCGAACAAAACATTCGAAATAGAAAGCCACTTTCATCCTCATATCTCCCGCACCCTTATAGCTATCGAGACGCAACCTTCCTGGTGCACGAATGGAGACTTAGGGCTACTAGCACATACAAACACCATTCACGTGCGATGTGTAGTTTTGGCGGAAAAGTGAAATATAGGGACATACATGTCCATTTATATATATATATATATATATAGATATAGATTAAAATGTTAGTACTTACTATTTTTGTAATCATTCAAAAAATATATACCCTGATAAATGAGGGTTTACAAAACTGAGATTAAACGTAGACATTTGCAAAAGAGCAAGTTAAAAAACCATACATGTTTGTGATAATGCACGAAAATCGCAGCGTGAACCAGTTCAAGCGGTTCTACTAGAGAACGCAAGCCAAAAGCTAAAGCCAACCGCCATTACCTGGTCGGTATCAATACATAATATACGGTACTTCTTTTCATCTTTTTCCCTTTTTGTCCGGAGAGCACTTTTTTGGGGCCACCGTGGATTTAACCAGGCCCGTAATGGACGAGAGACGGTCCCGACATATCCGGAACAGACAGCTGACGAAAAATGTCTGGAAAGTTCCCCGAATTCGATCTCGGATTTCCCAAAACGGCAAGCCGGCGCCTTTACCGTCTCGGTCATCCAGTCGTATAAATATAGTATTATAAATAACAAACATTATTTAAATAATTAAAATACACAAGAAAGTAATTTTAAAACAGAACTTATTTAAGAAGAAAAAAAAATTCCTCCATAAAGAAATGATATCAAGAGCAACAATGTTCTTGTGCGGTAATTTCGATTTGTTATATAGAACTTCGGTTGTAAAGTATAAAATTTTGAAACGATTTTTGACTAAAGAATTTATTTCTGTCTGGAGAAAAAGTTAGTAAACGTTAATGACATCATTCTTATTGTATAATTGATATAAATGACGTCCGGTTTGTTGCAGAGAGATCTGGCAAGCACGGGAAGAGACGTAAGAGCAGAGATCGCTGGGGGACAAGAAGGATCCGAAATAAAATACTTAAAGTAAGTGTACCTATGTTTCTGTGTCTCGCAAGGTTTAAGTACTTTATAAATGACTTATAAACATAAAACAAACTACTTAAAACACAGTTAACAGAAAAGAACTGTAAAAAAAAAATATTTGGTATTGCCTTTCGTCAAAGTGTTTGTTGCCTGGCGAGAGCACATTTATGATTATTTGCCAAGCATCAGTTCATTGTGGGAATTAGGAATGTTTGTCTAAGATTCTTTCTCTTTGATTTTGCACAATAGAGTCCGACTGCAAGTTACTGGGACTCTATTGTGGAGCCAAAAATAAGCCAAATGTTTGCTTGGTATTCAGTAAGGGTGTGACTATGCAGACACAAGTGAGATGTGATGATGTTTTATGCTGTCTGTTTCTTGCTGTTGTCTGTGTGGTTGTAATAAGCGAGAATGAGAAACAGAGAGAGTAAAACTCCATTACCTCTTCTTCCCATGTACTCTCGCTCACTCTCATCTGCATAGTTGCACCCTAGCTACTGAATATGTAGAGCCGGCTTTATGCTATTAATAATGTGAGAGAAATTTGTCACAAGTGTCTAGAGTCTGCTAAGTCTTAGTTCTAAATTATGCCGCTAAGGCAATCAGGTGCCACTCGCGGAAACTGGTTTTGTTACTTTTGAGTCAAATTATTAGTTAAAAGTCAAAGTAAAATAAATTTATGACTAGTCACCCTGCTCCCAAATAAACTATTTTATAAAAAATTAATATTGTAAGATTATCAGATGAAATTACAAATAAAATATAAGGGAACTTAAAATTTGATATTTTCCCACTGAGACAAGTGCTGCTATTAGTAGTAATTGGAACGTTCTGTAATATTTATAAGTATATAGCCTAAAAAACATTACTGTTTGCATTAATTATAAATTCATTACTCATGTGACATATGCAACCGTCATATTATATTGTCTGGATATTTTGGAAAGGATATTTAGAAAAAAAGACAGAGTTCAAGACTAAAACCTCCTCTCACTGAGTCAATTATAGGTGGAAGAAACGTAATGTTTGTTAGGGGGAACTACTTGTCATGTTTTTCTTTAATAACTACAACTTTGCAATTCTAAACAAATTATGACATACTACATAATTGCTGTAAAATTCCTTACATGAAATATTTTTCAACATTAAATAATAACATATTTAACATTCCTCCATTGCATAAGAGCCAGATAGAACCAAACCTTAAGATGTAATTTTTATAATAAACCAGCAGATAAACTCGGTGTTGCTCGGGCAAAAAATAATGATAGTGAAGATTAAGATTATTACATTATAGCCAATCTCACCCGTTTTCACAGAATGCAAGAATTCGGTCTCCCTGTTTCTAGACTAATTAGAGAATTTTTAGATGAGTCTAAAAATATGTTCGATTTCCTGCAAAAACACAAAAAAACCACATCTATGCCTGTAAATCTTGCATGCCGCTTTCTCTTAACACTTCCATTGTTGAAGACTTAATCCTGTCCCTCTCCCCCGTGAAAGGGAATTTAAAAAATCCCTTCTTAGTGTTCGTTCTCATGATGTACCCTGTGTACCCAATTTCAACTTTCAACTCCTAACCGTTTGGTCTCTGCGCTTATTATTATCATTAACCCATCTCGATTATATATATAGATTACTATATATAGAAAAAGGCTTTGAATGGTCCATAACGTTCCAGATATATATGACACAGATCCAGATATATATTCCACAACATTCCAGAATGTTTTGGGATGTTCTGGAATGTTCAGGAACATCCTGGAACATCCCAGATCATTGTGGAACATTCCAGAACACACTCGAATGTTGTGGAATGTTCTGGAACATTGTGGACCATTCGAAGCCTTTTTCTATATATTGTAATCTATATATATCTGGAACATTCTGGAATGTTGTGGAATGCTCTCAAATACTCTTGAACGTTCTGGACTGCTCTAGAAATTTTTAGAGGGTGAAACTTCCAGCCCTTATATCTTCAACAGCCCGCCCTTCAGGTAAAAAACGGGAACCTTCTTCATGGATGGGGGATAGAGGGCTATCACACCATATAACTCCCTTGATCGTACTGGGACTCGTTTTTGAGTTTTAGCGGCACACACATTGTACACTTACCTTTATTATATATATTGATTGATAAATGATGGTTTACCAATTTTTTGGACATTCTGTGTTGTGTCTTCAATTAATTTATAAAAAAATTACCATCTGACAGAATTCAACAATTAAAAGTTTGCAAGGATTTGTCACCAGGGGGAGGCTACAGAAATTACTTTTACCAGTGCACTTCTCCAGTAGTTATAAAGGTGCGAAAATTCCCGAATGGAAAGAATGAAGAAACAGGAAGATAGCTGTAAGATCCACTGATTCCAATTTTAACTTTATAATTTTAATTGGATATTTTTCTGTGTTTTTTAAAGGAATGCTTTTAAACTTGATGCCAAGCAGACTAAAAAAGAATGTCAGGTTGTCAGAAGTTTATGTTCTGGAACACGTGAAGTGAATAAAAATGGTGGTTTACCAATTTTTCGCACAGTCTGTTCTATGGAGAAATTCAAAACAGATTTAATATCCCAATCAAAGAATTACAATTTTTTCCAACAAGCCTTATCAGCTGTTCAAAAATATGTGGAGGACTACATATAAATAATTGGAGGACTGCATGTAAGTTCTTACAATTTTTTAACATAATGTTTTATAAATTATGTAAATTAATTGATTGTTTTTGTAAAAAACAGAATCTTCGAAAACCTCTATCTTCAAAGAAAATAGTTTTATACCACCATACAGGAAAATAGTTTTATGAAGACCATCTAAAAAATATCTCTCATCCTAAGTTACTCATTGAGTTCAATTTGCTATTAATCTTAAAGGAATAATGTATAAATGCATAGAAACAGGACATAAATATGATTTTAAAGATTTTTTTTTACCAGTTACGCTGAAAGAGTTTTATCTCCATTTTTTGGCTTGGAAACATGTCGATAATGCGATAGAAAAAATTCTAAGAGACATATAGATCGCTGTTATATTAGGTAGTGGATAGGTAATTCATAAATTAAATTTCACAGCCGTTTATAGATCGTGATATGATGGTGTGGTTCTATAATTTTACCCAAAAAAATGAGTGAACAAAAAATGTCTTTTAAATATTCACTGTAAAGATGATAATGTTTCGTTAAGTATCTACTTATAGAAAATACTTAAAATTTATTAATAGTTTGAATTAGTGCTGTGCGATGTCTATAATTTTAACATCGATGTTTGCCTAAGCATCAATGCTAAATTTCAATGTCGGATTTCACATCGATGTTTGGTCAATGCCTAGTGGAACATTGATGTTCAATCAAGATAAACTCAAACAATTTAAAAAAAAAAACAAAACTTAATTTTATTTTCAATATGTATAGTTCAATTACAGTTCCAATGCATATAGTTCTTCAATTGATAATGAATTTAAAACTAGAAGTTTGTGTACATTCTTTGGCTTTAAAGAACTCCGCTTTTTGTTGATAGTATTTCCAGCTTTGGAAAATAATCTTTCTGCTGGAACTGAAGTGGCAGAAATGCAAAGCCACTTTATGGCAAGTTCACATAAATTATAGTTTAAAACATTTCGTGGATTTCCACACATCCAAAGCATTATTATTGTGAGGCACAATAGGGGCATCTAAAAAAGTTTTAAAATTTGAATTTAAAGTTCCATTTGTGTTAACATTTTCTATCTTAATATCAGTTTTTCTGGATGACCGAAGGTCACCTTCAAGTTGATTTTCTGCATTATTGTGAAAACTTATTTGAGCCTCAGCAGAGGGAAATTTACAAAGTTCTGCATTTACATGTTTAATTGCATTTTCACAACATGCTGGACTTTTAAAATCTAGCTTTTTAAACCTTGGGTCTCGTAATGTGGAAACACTATATATTAACTTCGTCTCAGTGTATTTAAAACAGAAATCAAGATTACTAAAACATTTTTCCAGTAACTTCTTTCCCACATTTGTTTCTGTAGAAACCTTGCAAAGTGTATTAAACATTAACCCTAAAAATGGGATAATTTTACTGATGATAGTGTGAGTTTCTGCTGAAATCTCATTAGTTACTTTATAAAAAGGTTTTAGTACTTTAAGCGCATCATTCAAAGCACTTAATTCTCTACCAAGAGCATGTCAGGTGCCCTTGGAAACTTGCAATGTTAGTGTAACAAAATTTTTTAGTAGTACAAATCTCTCAATCATCAAGAAATATGAATTCCATTGAGTCTCAACATGTTGAATTAATTTTAATGTCACAGAACCTTTTTCATTCTGCGATGAGTTTGTTCTTTGTTGTTACTTTTCAAGCTCCTGTGTTGCATTTTTATTTTGATTAAAGAATGTGATTATTGACTTTACCTTGTCTAGTATTATGTTCAGTTCAGGTACTTGTCTTAAGGAATCTTGCACCATCAGATTTAATGTATGTGCAAAGCAAGAAACATGCTTTTCTTTACCAATAAACAGCTCAATAGATTTCTTAACATTTGCAGCATTATCTGTAACACAAGCTACAATATTAGATTTATCTATTTTCCAAAAAACAATCAACTCGTTTAGCACAGAACACAAGTATTCAGCTTTGTGTGACTGAGTTAAATAAGTCATTCCTAGCACGTATGATGTATGTCTGAAATCCCTGATGAAGTGTACAGTTGTGCCCATGTAACTTCGGTGGTTCGGAGTGGTTCAGGTCCACTCATCACAAGTCAGTGCACAAAATTTTAAATTGGCATTCATTCCGCATGTATTTAACAGCAGCTTCATATTAACTGTCTATGTGCTTTGTAATCATTGCCCGATGTGGAACTTGATATCTTGGTGCTGCTGTTGCCAAGAACTTCTTAAACTCTTCTCCGCTCACAATATCTACAGGACGATTATCCATTACTAACCATAAAGTTAGTGCCTTCGAGACTGCTTCAGCCTTATGTCCTCCTAAGTAAAGGCATATAGATATATTTAGATTATAAATTATCTAAAAATTATGAAGTGGTCACGGAGTTGATAAATTCACTCATTAAATGTAATATAATTACACTTATGTAAAATCAGACAATCGGGTTAAAGCATTCATTGATTGTTGACTGTGTACACAATGACGTTGACGAACATATGCTGCTAAGCCTACATAGGCTATTCTGATTGTTGTCAACTTCAGCTTGGTTTTCCAGTTCGTCTATTTCCTTGCGACTTCTTTTATGTTGGAGTAGTTTTAATGGCAATTCAAATGTGGCATGAAATATGTGGTGTTGCCAGTAACTTTAAGCCATTTAAGACAAATTAAACACTGAGCCTTGTCACCTTCCTTGTTTTTCTTAAAATATTTCCAAATCTTGGAAAAATGCTTCGCACATCACCCAAAGTAGCCATGATACTGAATACGAATGCACATCACACGAGGTGGAACAAAGAATGAACTGCATGCATATCGATGAAGCAAAATTCAGATATTGCTAACATCGATTCAGGATCGATGTTTCAAAAACATTGGAAGGTTGATGCATCGATGAACAAAAACAGTGATGCATCGCACAGCACTAGTTTGAATTTAAAATTTCCTGTTTTTGAAAAACCAAAATTGTTTTTAATGTTATCATTGTAATCCTTCTTTTGATGTAAATGTTCTTTTTTATTCAAATAAAAGAGAGATAGTATCGTTGTTGTCGTTTATTTAAACAAAACATACACCACTGCGACGTATATATAGCATAAAAGAATAGATAAAATGTAAAATAATGAGTAGCTTGTTCTGATTCGCGGCGGCCTTGTAATGGGTAAGCCTATAGGAATGGACTACTCATTGCTTTTTTTTAATATCAAAATAATAATTTCATTGGCAGATGGCACCATAATAAATATATTTATTTAAATTTTATATTTTAATACAGTGGGTGATTGGTTAACGAACACTTTCGCGAAAGATTTTTATAATCGGACAATGAACACTTCACTGAACAAACACAAGAAGCGACGTAAATAATGAATACTGATTGGTCTTCCTTTTGTCTTCAGGCAACAATTCGAAACTTTTCGGAGCGTGGGAGACATTGACATCAACGTTCTACCCAGTATATACTGATCGGATAGTATTCCCCCAAACTTTGAAACTCTCCCTTGTAATTCCAGCCTTTTATATTTCTGACAGAAACAATTCTTTTACGTTTTCTTCTGAAAATGCGGATTTATGCCGATATCTGCTATTAAAGATCTTTTGAAGAAGTGGGAGGATGTCAGAACAACGGTCTTAAAATGGCATCCAAACCAGGTTGAGGTTAATAGGCCTATAGATCTCTACAATTACAATGCTATTAATTACTTCTGAAAAATCAT